CCTGTGGATGGTCATCAAAAGGTGTTTTGGCTATCAATCAAAAAGCCATTATCGGATATGGCAGAGGTCCTTGGCAAAGGACCCAAGATGGCCTCCATTTAACCAATCCTCTAACTGTGACATGCCAGGGTGTGGCAGGTGAGTGTTTTATAGCAGTCCAGTGTTTTGAGAGCAATGAAGAACAAATTTGAAGGACACGTGATCTCTGAAGCCCATAGAACAGAGAAATAATGACACAAGGAAAGAAACTAAACGAACCAGATGGAGATGGGAAGTGCAAGGCCACTGGTGCTGGAGCTGCTTTCCCTGTCCGAACTGGCTGGCAATCGCCAAACACCTGGGAATGACCAATTACCAGAAACTAAAAGTAGAGAGAGGGCATGACTCGCTGCCACCTGCCCAAGGTCTGCAGTCAGACGGACCTGTGTTTGACTCGACCTACTTACTCACTGCCAGGGAGGGGGGTCCTTGCTCACAGCACCCCTACAGGGCAGAGTAGAACTGCTCCCGCAGGATTCCTCAGACTATACGTCTCTCTTGAGGGAGCCCTAGTGATGTAGAGTGGTGAAGTGTTGGGCTGCTATTCGCAAGGTCAGCAGTTGAAAACCACCAGCTGCTCCACAGGAGAGAGAAGAGGCAATGGGTCTCGTAAAGTTAGTCTCAGAAACCCACAGGGGCACGTCTGCCCTATCCTATACGGTCCCTATGAGTTGGAATCCACTCGATGGCAGTTGAGGCTGAATTACTGAAACAGTTATGGGAGGAGACAGGCTCATGTTTCCTCCCCAGAGCAACAGGTGGATTCAAACTGGTGATCTTTTGGTTAGCTGACCAATGCTTAACCACTGCAATGCCAGGCCTTCTTCGTTTGACACTGGGCTCAGCTATTCACCAATCTGCAATCAGCCCAGACACTCAGAACTCCCAAAGGACAGTCTCTGAACTGGTATTAGTCTGGATACCTTTCTCCCCAGTCTCTGACCAAAGGAAGGAGCCCAATGATCACAAGTTGGCAGCAGGTCCAAGGACAGGCTTTCTGCTCCCCTAACCATTTACAGGCTCAGAAACCCATGGGGGGAGGGGGCAGTTCTACTCGGTCCTAGAGTGTAGCTATGAGTAGGAACTCACTTGATGGCAGGGAGGTTTTTGGGTGACCAAGTGAGACAAGCATGAGCGATGTAGAGGTTTTTCACAGCACTCAGTATCTGTTTCTATGCTGTGATCAAGAGGACCCGCGTGGCTTTCTGGTAAGACACACCCTTTGTTATATGGGTGTGGACAGTGGCGTCTCATCTTCTTGTTTAAATTCTGAACTATGACAAAAGGAAAAGGTGGTCACCTCACGTATCAGTAAAGTTCAAATGTCTAGGAACCACTGGCTGAAAACGTCTCTCACTTTTCTCTTCAACAGAATGAGAGGAGCAGACCGTAGCTTGCAGAGTTGTGCGCAGTTAATGGTGACGTGTGGGGACTATCAAGCCCGCCCAGCTTTATCATCATTAAAAACTTAAAAATAGCTTGATTACTCGACCTGCAGGTGACCCCGGCTGTCTGGCACAACGGTTGGAAAGCAAGCTCTGCCTGGGAGTCAGAAGGCAGGGATCCAAATCCTGCCCGTGCCATTTGCTAACTCAAGTGATCGTGAACAAGGCGCAACCTCCCCGAGACCTGGTGATGGAGTGGGTTCGGTGCTGGGCTGTCCACATGAGGTCCGACCCCTGGCAGCTCTGAGGGAGGAAGATGGGGCTGTCTGCTCCCATAAAGATTTGGTTTGGGAAACCCAAGAGGGGCAGTTCTACTCGGTCCTCTGGGCTGGTTGGCAATGGGTTTATTTTCCCTGAGTTTCAGTTTTCTCATCATGCAAATGGGGGCGAAAAGCCAGTACGACTGGGTTCCAGGACAAAGAGCTGCTTTCAAACGTAGATCCTCCACATACAGTACAGTGCTTAGCAGTGTCCTGTAACAATCCCCCAGGATGGACTCGATCCCAACTTGAAGGAACACTACCAGTCACAGCGGAACTGCCTCTGGGTTTCCAAGGCTGTACATCTTCACAAGGGCAGACTGCCTCATCTTTCTCCCACCGAAAGGCTGATGGCTTTCAACGGCCGACCTTGGGGTTAGCAACCCGACGCATGATCCATGCATGACACCACCACGGCTCACTTCAGTGGCCTACAAGCATTCCCAGAATGTTGGTCATTAGAAGCATTACTGCCATTAGCAGGACTGGAATGAGGCAACCAGAAGGTGCCTTCTAAATTCCTGCCAGTTTCTGCGTCAACATCTCAAGTGACATCCACCTGAGACGTGGGAGACACACATGACGTCTCCATTGAACTCCCTCCGACCCCTGACCAAGGACGTGAACTAGCCTTGCCCTCAGACAGCGTGCATTAGAAAGTGGGCTACAGCAGACATTGTTAAGTTACATTTTTCATCTTATCGTTTCTTTTCCCTTTGGATCCATTTCTGATTCGGTCTAGTTTCTAATCTTCTTGCTTTCTTTGGGGTTGCGGATTTTCTGTGTTGATTTTACTGTTTTTGTTGGGGCCTGGGGTAAGATTTTCTTTATGTGAAATAATGGGCACAAGAATGAAGAAAATACTCTAAAATTGCAGTGGTGACAACTGCACGACTCTTTTCAATAGATTTAAACCACTGAAATGCATGGTACATGAATTACATGTCAATAAAACGGTCTTTAAAGGTACATGAGGAGAATCACGGTACATGGTAACTTAAAATATTTCAACTTAAATCTCTAGGTTAACAATAAAAACGTGGATAGTGCATCAATCGACACAGTGCTGCCGTGAGTTGTCCTGAATCAGAATTGGCAGCTAATGACACCAGAGTCTTCTGTTAGCTGTCATCCTAAATAACAGCTCAAATAAAACCCCAAACTCACTGCTATCAAACTGATTCTGGCTCCTAGGGACCCCAGGTAGAGAACTGTCCCCGTGGGTTTCTGAGACTGCCATTCTTTATGTGAGTGTAAAGCCATGACTTTCTCCTGGGGAGCGGCCATAGTTTCCAATTATTGATCTTGTAGTTAATAGGTCAATGAGTAGTCCATTGTACCACCCAGGTTCCTAAACAATAGCTCTAGAACTAAAACTGTTTCCATTACTTTTGAATTTTGTTCACATCCATTGAAGTATCAAATATAGCCGTGTAACAAAAGTGCTGTCTTTCAAAGAAATTAGTTAACTTTTATGAAACCAACAATTCAATTCATTGCCCCTGTTCTGACTCATATTGACCCGTTAGGACAGAGCAGACCTGCTCTTGTGGGTTCCAAGACAGTAAATCTTTATGGGAGTAGAAAGCCTCATTCTCCTCTCAAGGAGTAGCTAAGGGTTTTGAACTGCTGACCTTGCAGAAAGCAGCCCAAAGCTTAACTGACTATGTCATAGGGCTCCTCTTTTATGAAATAGTTATTTTTTTCTAAAACTAAAGGTAGGGTAACTTTTGTTACTTATTGTGCATCTTGTCCTCTAACATTTCCCCTCCTGTTAGTGGCATTGGTATTCTAAAACCTGTCAGGCTTGACTGAACTTCACCAACATAAATATCACTAATTTTAGTTTACTTTAGTAGTTTAGACCAGCTTACTTTAATATAAAATGAAATATAAATTATGCATGAATGGCAGTATAGTAGTTTTAACTTTCAAAAGAAATCCTCAGATAACAAATTAGGTTTTTCTCCATGGATTTTTTTCAATGTATTTTCATTAAGAAACCTTTTAAAAGACAAAAACATTACACATGAATGCCTTTTGTGGGTGAAAGTCTTAGGCAGGTTCTTTCTCAGGAATACCCTTTGAGCAGATCACTGTTCTAACCAGGCTTCTGGTTTCCAAACCTAATTCCCAAGCCTTAGAGCAATCATAAGAGAGCCAAGTACAGGTTCCACATCAATAGTAAGATCAAGTTAAACTTTATCATTAGCATTATTATTTTTTGTACTCCTGCAGGCCAAGTTGTTGCTGTAGGGCAGGGGTCCTCAAACTTTTTTAACAGGGGGCCAGTGCATTGTCCCTCAGACCCATTGGAGGGCCGGACTATAGTTAAAAAAAACAAAAAACTATGAACAAATTCCTATGCACACTGCACATCTTATTTTGAAGTAAAAAAACAAAAGGGGAAAAACATCCGGCAGGCCACATGTGGCCCGCGGGTGGTAGTTTGAGGACCCCAGTTGTAGGGGCTACAGAGTCAATTCCGGCTCAGAGCAACCCTATGCACAGCAACAGGAAATGCTGCCCAGTACCGTACTCCCAACTGTTCTTATGTTGACTCCTAGTATTGCAGCCACTATGCCAATCCACCTTTGTGACTGCTATGTATTTGTGTGTATATATATATAATGCATACACACATGTATGAACTAGTTCTAGGAGTTCATATAACTACAATAGTTACATAAATGGTGATGCTTTTTAATTTTGAATATAACTTTCTTCTCTTCGGATGCTTTAAAAATGAGCATTGAAGGTGCACCTTACAATTAGCTTAACAACGTGAACTATGATTAAGGAACTTAGTGTTCAAGTGGGGGGGAGGGCAGGGCAAGGGAGTTGGCCACACAAAGTCAGATCTCCTAGGCCTGGCACTTGAAAATTCATCGTGGGCAAGCGGTGGCGACCGGCTCTCATGCCTTCGTTTCCTCCTTTGTAGACGGGAGTTGCTAACATACCAACCTCAAAAAGTGTTTTGAGATTAATCACAGAGAACTTCGCGGTGTCCTGACCATTAAACAATCTAAATTTACGATGATGATTAAGAGGCACTACGGATGTCAGGGTCAATTGCAGCACTAACAGAATCCTCACCGCTATCAACTATCCAACTTGGAAATGACTGCCACGGGCATTAAGATGGTAAATTAGGAGACGACAATGAGAAAACATTTCTTAAGAAAGAACTTCTGTGGAGGCTGTTATTCTGATCCTGCCTCTGACCCAAGGTTAACACAAATTTTCTATACTTTACCTTCAGAACCAGGGAAGTGAGTTAAACCCAGGCTGACCAATTCACACAGCATCAAAGACACCTGCCGATGCTAGTCCGCAGGTGCCATTTCAAACGAACGGGCGGAGCATTTCCAATCGTAGGAGTTTCAGGCCTGCCACGAACTCCTGCCTTCGAAACGCGGAACAAACACGTCCTGATACAAGGAAAGCCTCGTTCATGCCACCAACTCGTGCTGGCTAAAAAAGACACCTACTTCCTAAATGG